AAAAAAAAAAAAAAAATTTCCCCCAACATCATTCTCTCCCTCTCTCTCTGCCTCAGGTCTAATTCATCTCCTACTTGAATAGAACAAATTACTCTGTCTCTCTGCTCATTTTCCCCCAGAAGATTTGGATTCATCAGTTGATTCATTTAGGGCAATTTCCCAAAGCTCACCTCAGAGTATTGGTTCCAAGGGCTACAAAACTTAGAAAAAATAGTTCAATGACTAAATACATTTGGGAAATGCCAGATTTTGGTTTTTGTTGTTGTTGTTGTTTTGAGAAGTGGTGTCATAGCTCCCTGCAACCTCAAACTCCTGGGCTCAAGTGATCCTCCTGCCTCAGCCACCAGTGTAGCTGGGACTACAAATATATACCAACACACCAAACTAATTTTTCTGGTTTTTGTAGAAACAGGTCTCACTCTTGCTTAGGCTGATCTCAAACTCCTGACTTCAAGCAGTCTCCCCTCCTCCACCTCCCTAAGATGACAGCTGTGAGCCACCTCGCCCAGCCCAAGATCCCATATTTGCTGTGAGACTTTCAGAGGCCTTTAATGTGCCAACAGGATATTCTCTTAGAGGGGCTATAACACTCTCCAATTATTGCCTTCGATTTTTTTTTCTTTTTAAGGAAAAATGTTTGGAGTTGCAGAGATAATGCTTTATGTCCACTAAATCTGGATTCATTTGCTCCTTCTGGGTACCCAGGAAGATAGTTCTAGACTCTAGTGCAGTTAGGTTGGGCCCATCTGACCAATTCTGGCTGGTGGGAATGGAAGTAATACATGACTTCTGAGCCAAAGCCGAGGCATAACCTCCCAGCGCCCCCTTCCTCCCACTCGGTGATTAGCAGTTGTGGAGGCCACATATTGAGATGGCACAAAATGGGAGCAACCTGAATGGTGACATCACAACACAGTCGGCAGCTGACCTGGAAGGCCACCCGATGCAAGAGGGACATCTTACAAGTCAAAAACCCTTGCCTGAAGCCTTTGAGATGTCTTGGTTAATTGCACAGCATAGCTGAGCCCATCCTGACTAATACGTAAAAAGAGAGATGGGCAGAGGCTGTTACACTGCAGACAGATTCTAGATGATGGGAAGCTCGGAACTGTTTGTCTGATTGGTCAGCTAAGAAGGTCTAAGAAGGCAAAGAGGAGGGACCTTCTACCTGCTGCACTTTCAGACCCCCACCCCAGCCCCACTGCTGCCTCCATCCTCTAACACCCTGTTTGGCTTTGATGGCTCCCTGGACTTGGAACTAGACTTGCTCTGTGTGACCACCTGATAAGATGGGCTGGACCTGACAGGGGAGAGCGGGAGAGGACAGGAAGTAAGTGCATCCTCCCCCGACCCCCACCCCTACTGCCTTCCCTTGGCACCAGAGGGCCCGTGGGGCTTGTGGTGGTCTTTCCCCAGCTCTCCTGATTGGAAGGGAGGGGGTGGAGGTGAAGGTGGGAAGGAGATATTCCCACTCGCCCACACCCACTCCCCTCACAACAAATTAACAAATTTAGGGAGAGAGAAGAGGGAGGTCTCAGCACACAAAGGTGGATAATTTATACCATGCCCCCTGCAGTGTGGAGCTGAGGAAAGACCTCGGTGCTGG